TTCAATACTGCAGTCTTTAATGGAAAAAATACACTCATTAAGAACTTTATTTGCAGGAGTGGGGTTTAGTCCTAATAGTGCCAATGTATAAAAAGGTAACCAGCATCTTTCCGCCAATTAGCAGCCCATTATAAAAACCAGCTGTGACTTTGGGCCAGTCATTCTCTTTCAGTCCAACTCACATCAAAGGATTGCTGTTGTGGGGAAAATAGGAAGAGGAAGGTTTGATATGTTTGCTGCCTTATTTATAAAAATAATTAAATCATTAAAAAAAATTAGTTGAAGGGCAAGCAGGTTCTAGAGCTGGATACTGGTATTAGATCATGCTCTAATTTGCAGTATCTAGTTGGGAAAATATACTTCTAGACCAGTGGTTCTCAACCTTTTTAATGCCGCGACCACCAACCGGTCGTAAGTCGAGGACTAAGCCGGCCGTAAGTCAAGGACTAAACCGGTCGTAAGTTGAGAACTACCCAACCGGTCGTAAGTCGAGGACTTTCCCTGCCCAGGAGCGCCGCACATGCGTGGTTCCACCCCCTGCGCCGGCCGAGGCATAGCTGGCAAGCGGCAGAGACGGAGCAGGCCGACCACCAGCTGGCCCAGCCCAAGGGAGGTAAGGCACCCGCCGGAAAAGGGGAAAAAATGGCGGACAGCCTTGCTTGGCGACCCCCGTGAAATGGTCGATCGACCCCAAATGGGGTCGCGACCCATAGGATGAGAACCGCTGTTCTAGACCATGGTCTGCTAAAATCTTCAAATATTTTGGGGCAGTGTTTAATGCAACCAGTAAATGCAGGGCACATATATAGTCTGCTGTCTAAAATGCAAGAAGTCACAACAGTTCTATACTTTGACTACACTAAAGATGCACCATCCATATCTACTGTCCTAAAAGTATTCTCAGCACTTCCTTCACCCTTCATTCAAGTCATTAATAAAAATATTGAAAAGAAGATGTCCATAGATTGAACCTTGTGGCACACCATAAACTTTGCTCCAGTGTGATGACATCCATTAGAATCCTCAGAATTCTTCAACTATGTTCTTAATTAATTAATGTCCTTTAGCAATATTTATTTAGCTTATAATCAGCATGTCACAACTACTATTGTCAAATGCTTTGCTGAGATCAAGGTCTATTATGTCTACATCCTTTCCGTATTCTTAGAAACAAAGCAATCTGATCAAAGTCCAAGATAAGATTAATTTGGAAACAATTGCTCATGCTGGCAAATACCACGCTGTTTTTGAAATCGGCTCACTTGCTTTATGATCTGCTCTAGAATCTTTCCAGGTATTGATGTCAGGCAGTTGCGACTCTTAATTCTTCAGATTCCCTCCTTATTGTTTTTAAAGATAGGAATATTTGCATTTAGTTCTCCAGGATTTCCCAAATATAATGCATAAAGATTTATCCAGAAATCAACTAAGGCCTAGGAAGCAATTCATCTGCCGTGGACATTTAAACTCAAAATCAGTAGGAATCTCTGAATAGATTTTTAACAGTTTTATCTTTAATCCTATTTTTCTAGTTGGATTCCTATAACATTAGGAGTCACTGGTCATACCTCAGTTCTAAATTTAAAACTATCAGATTATAACAATAAATGCAAAGATACTGCCATTATGAATATCTCAGTGTTGATTTCTAAAGCTTTATTGGACAATCTGTGGACCTTTTGGTCAACATTTCAGAGATATTTATATTTCCTTAACTAAACAAACAGAATGACCACAGGCGGGCAAAAAAGCAGTAGGAGTGAGAGTCTTCCGATTTCTTGCTGGCATCCCCATTGATTTTCTTTGTGGGAAGTTGGCAGGGGGTGTTGGAAATAACAATTATGTGACTGCGGGTGACCTAATGGCACAGCAGTGCTGGAGGATTCACAACTTCACCAAATTTCAATCCCATGGCAGTGATGGGTCCTGGATTTTGAATGCATTCTTTATTTTAGCCCATTTGTGGTACATTGATTCAAAAAATTATTACCTTATGATGTATCATTTTGCCTAACAAACATTTTATAGTAATATTATTTGTTCTGAGAAGTTTATTTTATATATACACATATACATATAGTCCATGCTTAATAATCATTAATTTAGCCACTATTTGAAATTACAACGGTGGTGAAGAAAGTGATTTATGACTGGTGCTTGAACTTACATACATGTGATCATCATTTGGGCCTTCCCAGATGCTGCCAACAGCCAAAGTCAATGGGGAAATCGACAGAAGGTTGCAAGTAATGCTTACATGATGTCCCACTTAATGACTGTGTGTAGGTAATTTGCTTTAACAACTGTAACCAGGATTGCTGAAAATGCTGCTGCTAAACAGGACAAGTCACGTGTTGTCTCACTTAATGACCACTTTGCTTAGCAATGGAGTTTCCAGGGCCAATGTACTTTTCAGCACAAATAATATTACTATTATAAAAATATGCAGAATGTAAATGTTCTTAGCTATAAGCTGCCCAGAGTAATTTGGGAGTTGGGCAGCATATAAATTACATGAATGATTTTGATTTCATTAATAAATATTCATGCAAAGGTTTTTTTTCTCTAAAGGAATCTAGAGTTGTTTTCATATGATGGCATTTAGTGCTACATCTTTTTTTTTTTCACTTAATGAATTTGATGCAAAAATTGAAGAAAAGTTAGAAGACAGAATTACAGGTAATCCCCGAGTTATGAGCGTTCACTTAATGCTCGTTCAAAGTTATGTGATCAGCGCCCCCTAGTGCTTACGAGCAAGTCCCGAAATTATGACTATTGCAGCACCATGGCAGTCATCCGCCCTTACGAGTGACCACAGAGGCTCTGTGTATTCACCCTATTCCCTTCCCCACTCCTCACAACTGCTTCCCTCTCCCTTCCTGCTGTGCCGGATTCCCTTACCTTGCGAAATCTGTCTCCTCTCTGCCACAGTTTCTTTCCTTTGAGGGAGAGGAGAAAAGCTTGCAAATGGGCACAACCTTGCTCTCAATAAGGCCGGCACACACAAGCAAGCAGCGCATACGGGTCTTATTGTTTGAGAGCAATCTTGCTGCTGTGCTTCTGCTTTCCTGCACTCAGACGGAGCTGAGAAATTGAAGGTTGTGCCGCTGGCGGGCCAGGCGAGGAGTAGGTCGGGCGGGGTGGGTGGCTGGCTGTGGAGGGGGATCATGGCCTCTCAGGTGGTTGCCGCCGCTGCCAGCTTGGATGCGGGTACAAGGGACCTAGCCCCACAATGCCTCCCCACTCATTTGAAGGCTTTGTTCTTGCCCTCAAACTAAGTCCAGCGCACACAAGCGAGCCGCTCAGCCAGGCCACTAATGGTATTGGTTCCTGCGCCTGGCCAACTCCGATTCCACGCTTTGCCCCATAGGCGTGCAAATGAAGCAAACACTTCCCCCCCCCCCCAGAGAATGGAAGCTTTCAGGGCCATGATCTCTTTTGCAAAGAATGGGTGTTTGAACTCGCGCAATATTACGGCACCCAGGAGCTTCCATTGTCAGCACAAAAAGCATTTGCTAACTTTTCTCCTCTCCCTCAAAGAAAAGAAACCGAGGCAGAGAGGAGACAGATTTTGCAAGGTGAGGGACTCTGGCGCGGCAGGAAGGGAGGGGGAAGCATGAGGTTTCTTAGTGGGTCAGAGAGGCCTTGGGGACCTGTTCCATCACTAGCCCCCCTGGCCTTCCTTACACTGAGATATCTCATGTGCACTTAATGAGCCGCATGCGTTTTAACGAGCAAGGGAGTGATCTCGTTCGATTTACGAGATTCACTCTACGAGTTTTCAATTTACGAGTGGAATGGGCAGGCTTTATTACACTCGTAACTCGGGGACTACCTGTATAAATGGAACATTACAACATTCGTTCATTCCCCCTATTTCCTGTCCTTGAAATACTGCATGTAGGAGGTAGAAAAACCTCATAATAGTCAAATCTAGAAGCATCTTAAGACAACATTAAACCTGTGTAAAGGTTCAATGTTCTGGTAATAAATTCCAAGATGTTTAACTTTTAAAGTACATATGTACTTCCTATTGTTTGTAGTCACACCTGTTTCCTGCATTTAATGTGGTTCCTTTCATAAATGTTCAACCTATTTCTTATTGGGTCTACTAAATATAGTTTTCTCCAAACACACAGGTAAATAGTTCAATTCCTTTAAAAGAGGAACACCTTTCTTTACAAGACAAATTATTTAGGCAAAATTAATCATGTGTAAAAATAAAAAGTTTAACTCTACAATAAACCTTTTTTTATATAAAAAAAGTGTTTCCAATTACATTTTTTTCAAAGATTGAGAACAAATATAATCAGGGATGTATATCAAACTATGCATAACACATACTGTAATTTGAGTTGGGCAGCCACATAAATGTATCAATTAATCATATTCGTGTTATATTCTTTATCTTGAAAATGACCATCTTTCCAAATAGGACAGGTAAAAAAATGATATTCCAAATAACATTTCAGATTTTAAATCATACCGTACCAAGACATTTTGAGAATGTCATTGTAGAAAAACTACTTTTTTTAATGAAGTAGCCTCATTAAAAATTACAGTTAGAAAAAAACTAATACCAACTTAAAAAAAGAAAAAATAGCAGAAAAGAAAACAAAAAATAGAAGGAAAATAGAAAAGATAGAAAAAATATAATTTAAAAAAAGAAATATATAAAGAAATGACTTCTCCCTTCAACACAAGTACACATTTAGTAACTTATACATCCTCTTAAAATGCAGCAAATGACATCCTCTTCCCATATCCGATCTCTTATCTATAAACAAATCCTTAAAGTTTTGTCATTTCAGTCCTGATGTCCCAAAGGTACTTTTCCAAAAGGCAACTGGACTTATTAGGGTTTTTTTTCCTTGAAAACATTTCACTTCTCATCTAAGAAACTTCTTCAGTTCTGCTTCTTAGATGAGAAGCAAAATGTTTTTGAGGAAAAAAACCCCATCCAAGTTGCCTTTTGGAAAAGCAGCTTTGGGGCAATTATGACATGGATGACTGAGAATCTCCATAGATATTCAGTCCTGGCATCAGCAAAAGTATATGAAAGGTTACCAGAAATAACATCTTTATTTTAATTTTGATTAAATAAACCAATTTTCTATTCCTTCCTATTACATCTAATAATCTCGATCTTTAGCCTGTCAAATAATGTCCTACAATGTCTTTTTTTGGGGGGGGGGGTAATATTCTTACAAAATTCTTCAAAGCTTTAACAACCTTCTTTTATGTTTTCCAAAAATCCTCAATCTTGGATTTAAAACTTCTTTCACTAAGGCAGGCATGTCAAACTGCCAGCCCATGGGCCGGATGCGTCACGCCAAAACCACGCCCACCCCATTGCCAGCAATGGGGGGAAAGTTGCGATATGTCACGCGACATCACATGACCTTGTGAGTTTGACATGCCTGCACTAAGGATTCAAGGAAAGTCATCTGGTACTATAAAATCTGTTAATCCAAAGGTTCCTAATAAAAGCAATTTCTGAACGTGATTAGAAAACAAAATATGTGAACCCAATGTTCTTTCAAAGTAATAACTATAGTTTGAGCAAGTTCTTTATTCCCTTGTTTCCCAGAGCTCTAAACCTACTAGAGACTGTAACTTGTGGTCTCCTCATAAGAAACAATTGTCTGGAACACCTGCTGGTAATCTCAAGTACTCTTCTTGTCCAGAGAGGAACTAAAAATTATAAAAGAGCTGGTCTACTCAATAGCTCTTCGTTCTGTTGTCACGTCTGCTTTTTGCCGAACTGTCTTCAGTCTGCCATTTCTTCTCCTCATACTACTATTGACAGATCTATACATTCATATCTTCTACTGCCTATATTGTTTCATTATTTATTGCTATTTATTCTATTGCTGCTTCAGACAGTTTCTAAAATATTTTAATTGTATTGTTCAATCTTCTTAATCATTTTTCCTCAACATAGCAAGAATGATGGTCATTTGTAACATTATTTTTAAAATGACTAAATATCAATTCAACCAATGCCACCAGAAGTAGTCAATGCCCCAACATTGGATGTTTTTAAGAAGAGATTGGACAACCATTTGTCCAAAATGGTATAGGGCTTCCTGCCTGAACAGGAGTTATCATTCTGTTAATTATTTTTTCTACTAACAACTTGATTTTGAAGACTACTGTTATCATCTTGGTCTACAATTGTTTGTTACAGTGAAAAAGGAGCAGATTCTTCAAGGTATACAAAATGACNTTAGGGGGAGATTATCAGTTTTAATTTCAAGCAACAGAGTACTGTAGCAAACAATGTCAAACACAACAAAGGCTTGCCTGTTTTCAAAGAGGAACATGCAGAAAAGTTGACTAAAGTTTCAAGAGTCTGGTCCAAGTTGTTAACTAGGCCCAGCATCTAAGATCCAAGAGTAGAATTCGCATACGGGAATCATGCATGAACCAGATATTGTTTCCAGCAAAGAGAACAAAGATAAATCATGTCTTTTTTATAGGCTGCAGCCAGCCTATAAATTAGAATGTCACTAATTAGAATGTTTACTCCATTGCTTGCCAAGTAATCTTACAGACTTGCTCTGCTCTATCTCCTTTCCACTTATCTACTGCAAGGACTGAGAGACCTTATGTCATCATCACCTGACAGGTCCAGCTGTTCAGGTGATGCTTGTGATTGATCAGCCTCATGTGATATCTGGCTCTGTCCCTCCTAAGGCTGACATTCCATGGACTCAGCTGGAGCAGTTTCCTCAACTTCAGATTCAGAATCTGAAACCAGAGTCTGGGTCATGACACATGTTTTAAAGATTCAGTTGGGTCCAAGATTTTCCATAATTCATTCCTCCAGCTCATAGGTAGTCAACCTCTCAGGCATCTAAAGGGTCACTAGTATGTCATCCTTTGAGCATTTGCTATCTTGCATGTACATAACATGTTTTTCCATCTGTATTTTTATGCCATCTTTGATGCCAAATTTAAAGATGGTTCTGTGCAAATTTCTGCTTTTCTAGTTGGTCTCCAAGTGAGATCTTCAGTACTCAACTTTCCACTGTACTATGTTATCTGAAGTTTCTCCACTTCTGATTTTCTTAGGTTACACACTTCACAGCCGTAGGTCATAACTGACATTTCTATGATACTGAAAAAAATTATCATTGCTTTCTGTTGGATGAAAGCTAACTCGTTCCAATCTGCTTCAAATGATATCTCTTCATCAATTTTGTCTATGCACTGAACACTTGGCCAAAGTAGATGTAAGAATTGACATTCTTTATTGGCTCAGAATCTGCTTTGATGAGTAAAATTAGTTTCATAAGCATTGGGTCTTTTTTCCTATTAATTTTTCAGGCTAACTAGTCTGCTGGCCATATTGAGCATTTAAACACTCCTTGGCTCTTTGGACACTCTTTGTGGCTAATAATCACAATGTCATAAACAAATTGGAGTTGACCTTAAAAACTGTGATTAAGAATGAAAATCAGGTGTATATCAGAATATATAATAAAGCCTACACAGATCTATAGACCAATATGATCAAGTCCTGGGGTGGGGGGAACAAATAGCTCTAGGAAAATGAGCAACACACACACATATCCATCCACTGTTAATTTATCTATTTCTAAAGGCTGCCTTTAATAGCTGTGTTTCCTCATCAGTTAAAAACCCACAAGTGATTTTGAGTTAATCCCCCGAAGAGAGGATTGGATTTCAAAAACTGAGAAGGGATATAAAATGAGTCATATCAGGAGATCTAGTCCTATCCTGTTAAAGATTTTAAAAAAAATCAACAATCACAAACTCAAAAACAGAAAGATAACAATACTTCACCAATAGCTACAGATTATGAGCTGTGACCCTAACAAACCACTTGAAATTTATTTAGACTTGATTCATTTTTTCATTTATTTATGATATACCTAAATCACACAGCTGTAGAATATTAGAAACTGGTAGATTAGCTGTCTAATTAACTGTCTTAACTATTTTATTTCAAGGCTTATTATTATAGTATTATACAATAAATTTAATTCAACATTCATAAAAAATAAAAAGTACCTGAAAATCATCATATGGAAAAAGTAGCAGCTCACGCAAGCCATCGTTGATTATTTGAGTTTTCTTCTGAACAATTATATTTTCATAGTCTATTGGCTCTATTAGCTTTGGTTTTGCCTGAAAAGAGGGGAAAGTTTTAGTGAATAAAGATTTTTATTCTTGTACCAAAATATATTTTAAGATGCTATACATATTCATGAACCTCTATGCAATACAATCCCACATATGACTACTCAAAATTAAATACCATTATTTACATTGGATTTATTCCCTAGTTAAGAGTATACAGAATTACTGATTTTATCAAGAAAGGACAGTTTTGAATGTAAAATTATGTGTTTATAAACATATATGGAAAAATAAGCATTATAGTAACAAGATAATATGTAGTTCAGTTCTAGATTTATAAATGAAATGCAGTCAATTCTAAAGAAACAAATGCAATTGATTTTAATCAGCCCATAGTTTTTCCATTAATTGATATCGGTTTTCCTGGTCACTGCATTTTAATCGATTAGCTAATTTATTTTGTTTATCTAATAAACAACAAAACCAACAAACTAAAACAAGGTCCATTAAATAAATACTAAACAGCGACCCAAGCCTGAGACCAAAGGTTTTCAAAGATTTTCAAAGTTTTCTGGAACTGTAGGAGAGAGGGCGCTGTCCTTATCTCGGGGGAGGGGAATGCTGTTCTGGGGGAGGCAACAACAGGGAAGGTTTCTAGGTCCCACAAGATGGAAATGTTTAATGAGGAGGACTTGGAGCACAACCACTCTGCTGGAATGCATTGAGCGGGCAGAAACTATTGGAGGCAATCAGTCTCTCAGAAAGCCAGGCTCTATGCCATACTCATGTTCTCATGTTCAAGAGAAGCTGAATAAAATCTACTTCACAACCCAATTCTAAACCAAAGGATTCAGGGAGACATACAGTATGTTGTGGCTGTACTTAATGTATAGGTCCAAATATAATCTTGTATCTTCCATATTTAATATAGAGCTTGAACTAGGATTATAATTATTGGTAGCACTAGGCATTAAAAACTATAGACACATACTTCTAGTTTCTTAACATTAAAACCTCATGCTAATAAGTTGAAGATTATTATAAAACACTCTAAATTATTTAGATATAGAAACTATTTCTATTACTCTTCATCTTAGAGAATGATTGTTTTCTAATCCTTCGATCACAAATCTAGACAAATCTCCAGTTCAATTTCTGAAAATATTATGGCATCAAACACAATTAATATGTTTTTACAGTATTTTTGGTGTTAGCTACAAAGGTTGTTTTGACGTAAGAAAAAAAGAGAACAGTTTACTTTTGTGCTTGAAAATTTTCCCAAATACTTAGGTTTCTTTAGAAAAAAAACTATAGAAAAGCTTAAATTCCAATAACTGGAGTTGCATAGAGAATGTGAAATTAGATTTTTTTTAAAATATTACATTTCCATTCTAGGATGAAGTACAGTTCTAAAGTATTTCTAGGGTAATGATTTCTTAGAAAAGTGTTATAGAAGCACAGTGATCTAAAGATAGGTTGGTCAAAGAAGATTGCTTCGCGCAGTATAATGCCTACCACATGGAGATATTGTCTTTGAATAATGTTATTGGAAGGAGTTCAAAAGAACAAAAGGTTACATTTTGAAAGATTCATTATGAAGGAGAGGCTACAGAATTAAAACTATGAAGCAAATTATTTTTTTAAGACTGCATACTATGTATCATTATAGCAGGAAAATATGCTTTGTTGATATAGCAGAGTACACTTAGTTCAAAGAATAATAACATCCACATTTTAAAAAAAATATAGACAAAATTAATTTTGAAAACACTAACTTAGCCATTGCAAAAACTTAGTAAAAGAGCAAATATAGAGGACGTTAACAATAAAAAACAGGAAATACACATCTACATTTTTCTGCTAATTGAAAAGCATGTTGAACATTATATTCAACTAATTCATTTAATTAATTTAGACCAGAAAATGTACCAAGACAGTTATATGTCAGTTCATATATAGTGCTATAGAAATACCTTCACAGAAATGAATAGTTAAATCTAAGTAGTCTGCAGATGGATAATTAAGCATAAAAACTGTTAAACACAGTTTAATAATTATTATCCATTATTACAACTGGATAAGAAATAAATTACCTTTCTAACTAACAATATAATAGAGATAACAAGCAAATAATAATAATAATAATAATAATAATAATAATAATAATAATAATAATAATAATAATAATAATAATAATAAAGTTGGAAGGGACCTTGGAGGTCATCAAGTTTAACCCCCTGCTCAGGCAGATAACCCTATACCATTTCGGACAAATGGCTGTCCAGTCATTCCCACCTACAATATAGTAATTCTAGAGGTAATCCTTGACATACAACAATTTGTTTAGTGATCGTTTGAAGTTACAACAGCACTGAAAAACATGTCTGTTTTTCACTATTATGACCGTTGCAGCATCCCCATGATCACATGATCAAAATTCAGATGCTTGGCAACTGGTTCATATGTATAACAGTTGTGTCCTGGGGGGCATAGGATCACCTTTTTCAACCTTCTGACAAGAAAAGTCAATGGGGAAGCCATTCAATTAACAACCATGTTACTAACTTAACAATAGAAGTGATTTACTTAACAGCTGTGGAAAGAAAGGTTGTAAAATGGTGCAAAACTCCCTTAACAACTAGCAACAGAAATTTTAGGCTAAATTGTGGTCCTAAGTCAAGGACTACTTGTACTAGAAATAGCTTACTTTTTAATATATATTTATTGTTTCATCACAGAGAATAAAATACAAAACAAAAAACAAGCAAAATGAAATAAAATAAAAGCATACATTCAACCCTAACAATAACATCCTACATGTTAAATATAAAAGAAAGAAGAAAAGCAGTTACCAGGTTGAACTAAACATTACACTAATCTTCAAATCCCTCTGTTAACCATCTGTTATTATATTTAGCATGCAGAAAGTCTACAAATGGTTTCCAGTCTCTTATAAAGCTGTCTAGTCTCTAATCCAGGCAGTTAATTTTGTCATCTCCGCTAGTTCAGTCAATTTCAAAATTCATTCTTCAACAAATAGCTTTCTTTATTATAAATATTTAACAATTGAATGAAAATTTAAAGAATTTTCATCAATGCTATTATTTTCCTAATGTGATAAATAACAAAATTTTGATTGACATTCTTTTTTCAGAAATAGTTTAGTTTTACAAAGACAATGGAACCTAAAAGACCAATGTTCTAATGTTAATATTATTTTGAACTGCCTTATGGTTATTTAATTATATTTAGGCAATACAACTATTAGTATTTTGTTCACTGTCATTTCCTGTATTGTGTTACATCTGTTTGTACTTTACAGTATTGTACAGTACAGTACAATATTTACAATATTAAAAAAGCAGGGCATTACACAGAAAGAACAAGTTCTGAAGTTCTTTTTTTCAAAGCACAAAGAAATATAATTTTATTTTTTCTATGCTACTGAATTGAATATAATGTATTGGCATAATAAAAAGAATATTATGATACTACAATTTAAAAACACTCTTATAAAAGAGTCAAGTTTAACTCATGGATATTACATGGACAAATGTTCTTCATCTTGATCTGATTTTAGTAATAATTAATAGTTATTTCTCAGGAAACTCAGGATCCTGTCCCTTCATCTCTCTTGTTGCCTTTTCCTTCTTCTCTTTCCCTCAGTTTTACCAAGCATATTTTGAACAAGTCTTTATAATCAAATCCCAAACAAATTTGAAGCATATTTGAAGCAATGGTCTGTTTTTATACTATTCTGGATCAGGGGTCCAAGCTATCAGCAAAACAATTTGAAAGAGCTGTAGTTCTATATTGTCAAGTGGAAAGATTTTCAACACACATTATTGTTTTTGCATATGCTTCCTGAAAACTGTTTCCTGACTGTATCAAAACAGGCCATGTCATGGAAAAGTTCACCATAATGAAGCATTTGGTTAAGATAGCTCTTTCAAATTGTTTTGTTGATAGCGTGGACCCTTGATCCAGAATAGTATAGAAACAGAATATTGCTTCAAATATGCTTCAGATGTTTGGGATTTGACTGTAAAAACGTGTTCATAATATGCTTGGTAAAACTAAGGGAAGGAAAAGAAGGAAAAGGCAATCTGAAATGGCAACACAAAATTGAAATATCTGCATGTACCATAAACTAGTTAAGTGTAATGACTGCTAGTCCAATATATTCCTATCCCAATTGGAAATTAGTCATTTTTTATAACCATTCATTTCTTTCTTCAAACAAATGATACCTTCAGAATGTTTTTCTTGTTGTTATACTGAATATATCTCCCCTGAATTTCTGGATATAAGGAAAACTATGTAACCCCACAGCAAGGCCTTATAGTAAGTTTTTTGTTTGTTTTGTTTCCCATAGATCAGCAGTCCCGAACCTTTCAGGCTCCATGGACTGGCAGTGGAGGTGTCAGAAGGGGAGGGGATGATTTCTCACATGCAACCTAATCCCACACACACGCAGATGGAGCTTCGCACGTTCGCCTGCCGCTTGTGTGGCCTGATTCCCAATGGGCCATGAACCAGAACCAGTCCATGCACCGGGGGTTAGGGACCTTGCAGTACAGCATGTATTATGTATTATGTTTCAAAGACAGGAAGACCAAATAACTGTCCTCTTACCTGTCAATTTTCTCTTATAGTTCTAACTCTGGACCATTTCTCCCTCTCAGACTAACCCTGAAAAGGTTTTAAAAGGTTGGGAATGGGAAAAAGTAGCAAATGGGATTCAAACTCCTCTCAGTATTAGAATGGAAAAACACATTTCAGAAAACCATTATTTCCTTGTAAAATAGTAGGTTTTCATGCCTAGATCATGAAACTTTATGTGTAAAAATTGAGTGATAGCCTTGGATTTCTGTTAATACTTTAAATGCTAGTTGTAGAGTCTATTTGACATTACATACATTGGACAAGCTTAAGTGCAGAATATATTTCTACCTCACTTAATGCAAAACCTGCTAAATTTCAGAATAGCCAAATCAAAATATTAATTATTCTTATGGTTAAGACAAGACAAGAAAAGACAAGACAACCTTTATTGTCACATTTTTCTGTGAACACACTGGCACACATTAAAAAATTCTGATGCCTACTCTCAAAAGAAAATATATATACATACCTATACATGTACATACATATATATAGCCTACACACATACACACACACACACACACATGCATACTCACACACACATATTAAGAACAATGCATTTTGAATACATAGCAGAAAAAAGAGTCTGGAGAGTTAACAAGATTGGTACTATATGGTACAAAGCTATTACAGAAAAGCTATTACTTTTATTAACTACAAACATATATTAAGATATTTAATATAGCAAACATATTTTCTTCAAATTATGTATTTTAAGGTTCAAACATTGGACATGTTAGCCTACTAAAATTTAAGACTCATTAAATAATTGCTTTTGTGCTCATGTACGTTGAGCCAACAAGATGGTTCATCTTCTCATTTTGCAATTGTATAAATTATTCCCGTTTGTTTTCTTTAACGCAATTCTGTTCAAAATATATTATTTCAGAAATATTACTAAAAATAACCTTGTATTTTCAGTAATGTGCTTTCTTTTTCAATCCTTAGCTTTTCTTGAGTTTTATTTATTTATTTATATTTCATATTTCTAAACTGCTCATCTCTCTTATTCAAAATTTCCTATGAAAATGCGTTATATATCTACATTTAGATCTAACAATGGATTTTAAATTAAACTAATTAGTCTGATTGAAGAAACTCTTGTAAGACATTTGCTCTGAACTCATCTGCGAGTCCAGATCTACAAAAAAGGAAGGAAATGTCATCATCCCTAACAAAAGAATACAAGGACAATATATTGACTTTGGCATTTGCTACATTGATACCAACACTTTTACAGGAAAGCAGAATCTTTCTCATATTCTCTTAGAAACATTTTCCATTTATAAATAGCTTCACCACATGAGAAAAAGATTCTACTCTAGAAAAATTATAGACAATCTACATCTNATTAAAAAAGGAAACCTAGAGGGGGAAAAAGAATACTTTTTTCCTAAAAAAAAAAAAAAGGTGATCTTGGGAGATCTTCCCTAATATTATTCCCACAATAACAACACTAAGATAAGTTGTTCTGAGAGAGAAAGACTGAACTATTTCTTTTTTAGTAATCTCCATGGTTAAATGGGCAAACTCAACATCTTATCATTACACTCTTTGATTTTCCTATTTTCCTATTTATGCTATTTAAAATACAAACAATGAAAAGGAAATAGATATGTCCCTTTCTATTTAACACTATAAGGTTTATCAGAAAGCTGTACAGAACTTGTTATAACTATAAAAAGAAATCTGTATTTCTTCTCATCAACCTGTCTCCAATGCAAATCTTTAAAGCTTATATCAATTGTTCCTATCTTTTTCTTGAAAAGTTGAATAAGTGGAGAAATGGAACTATATACATCAACAAAAACTGAAATATACTAGACTATCTTTAGAAAGCCTGCATTTAAGTTTGGGATGTCCAAAATGACAGATGTTAAATCAGTTAACAGTAACATAAAGCTAGTATTTGGAGAGAAAAAATGCAAATAATATGTTTAAGAACAATGGCATAAGCAGCACTTTCCCCAGTATGGAAATTAATAATTCAAGTAGTTATATTCAACTCTGTTATCAACACCATCAAAATATTTCATCTTTCCTATATTTTTAAGCCACTGAAGTCATTCTAGCGCTATATTAGAGCACTAATAAATAGGATATGAACTTGGAATGAGAAACAATTAGTAAAAAAAGAGAGAAATAATAAAAATGTATACTGCATTACAGTAACCCAAAAAACATAGAGTTAGATTTGATAAGGTATTGAAGATCTATGACTAAATATTTTTTAAAAATCAGTATATTTAAAAGAATTTAATTGACACTGAATTGAATTGTAATAATAATATTTTTTATGATTAACAATACCTCAAGGATAGGAAAAACCAAATACAGGTAGTCCTTAACTTACAACCACAATTGAGCCCAAACTTTCTGTTGCTAAGCGAGACATTTGTTAAGTGAATTTTGCCCTATTTTACTATCTTTCTTGCCACAGTTGTTAAGTGAATCACAGCAACTGATAAGTTAGTAACCTGGTTGTTAAGTGAAATTGGTTTCCCCACTGACCTTGCTTGTTAAAAAGTTGGAAAAGGTGATCACATGACCCCGGGATGCTGCAATGGTCGTAAGTATGAACCAGCTACCAAGCACATGAATTTTGATCACATGATCATGGGTATGCTGCAGAGGTCGTAATTGTGAAAAATGGTCATAAGTCACTTTTTTCAGTTGTACTTTGAATGGTCACTAAATGACCTGTTGTAGGTCGAGGACTACCTGTACATAATAACTGTGGAATGAGCTGCCCCCAGAGATCAGGGTGATCCCTGATCTCCCTTCCTTCCGCCGCGCCCTCAAGACATGGCTGTTCCAACAAGCGGGACTGGCCTAGGATAATTTTTAAGAGGGGTTTTTAGAGGGGTTTTTAATTATATTTTAATCAGACAATTTAAATATTTCATTTTAATTAATTTTAACTTTGTGATTGTTAT